TCTTCCGGTATGAGTAACCGCGTCAGGCCAGCCTGCGATACAGTCTGTAGAGCTACTGTTAGTTTCCCAGCAGATGTCAGCTGAACCTGAAGCGTAGTCAAGGATGGTGCCAAAACAACGTCGTTTTCAGTTACGTGAGAGTTGTCGCAGCCATCTTTTTCAACAACGGTAAAGAGAGTACGTGAACCGAGGGGAATCGCGTTGCGTTGCCGGATTAGTTGGAGGCTAACTGCCCCACTGACGGCCGAAATGAATGATGCGTAAATGGTAGCGAAAGGTGTAATGGCATTCGGTCTCTGTGATCCCGCGGCCCCCGGCGCATTTTGTGTTTCTGTCGAGAGATTCTTGACCAATTCCAACGAAGAAACATTGCCAGAAGAAGAGACTGCAATATGTGATTAGGAAACAACGCTAGTATATAGGGTTGAGACGCCCATCTATTGAGCGCATGCATACCTTTCAGAGTAGCCGAGCCAATGGCGAGGCGACCTGAGTCGTCTTTGCCATTATTCGGAGATAGCGGAGACAGGCTTTCAAAGCCAGGAGTAGCAGAAAAGACCCATAAGCAAAGTCGTCTGGGGTAGCTTGAAACCAAGCAATTTCGGTCTCTTAGTTGGAGCTCCAGGTCCTTGAGACGGCTGAGATGCTTAAGGATGGCGTAGCCATTAGTTGGCGACTCGCCAGGATCATCGGTGTAAATTCTCCAGTAAATATGGGAGAATCCATCCTGAGATGCTAAGTTAGAGGCTTTAACGGTGTTCTGCTTGGGAGGGTAGTGGGACCTACAATGGCGCGTATGTTGGTGATGGATCCTCCGGGAAAGTCCATGATTTAGTTATAGTCCCCAAGGAGACACCGGCTGTTCTGTATTTCTAGCCAGGAAAGATAGTACAGCTGAAAGAGGATTCATTTCCAGAAAGACGCGCGAAAAGAATCATGCCTCAATAAGCCGCCCATAGTACTATTTGGAGACTTTGAGGTAATGCAACAGGTGTCAGTAGATAGATAGGCTCGGAGATGCCATCGCTGTTTTGGGGGGAGAAGGGGGGAAAGCTCGCGGGTTTTAAGGAATACCGGGAGGAATGAGGTGCATTTAAGGTATCAAGCTAGGGACGCCATAGTCCCAGCGATATGCTCCAGGCTCTGATAAACGACCGAATGGCAGCAGGGCGAGGCGAGGTAGGCGAAGAAAGGCAGAAGATGCGATGCCATCGAGACCCAACGGAGGTTGCTTCGGCCCGCGAGAGCCAATCATGCATGATCGACACCCGCAGCGTCACGTGGACCCAGCTATCGCTATCGGCGAACTTTTTTTCGTATCGCCTTTCTGTTCCCTTTGGTTCTGCTTTTGCGCTTCAAGCTGGTCATTTCCTCCTCAGCCCATAGCCATGAAGCTCTCCAACCAGTCGGATGTCCCCGTCTATACCATCTCCGGCTCCAACACTGCGCGCCCTCTGCCGGAGTGGCTTGCGCGTCGGAGAAAGCGCAGCTTGAAAAATGATCCGGAGTATGCGAACCGCATCGAACTACTTCAGGACTTCGAATTCGAAGAAGCGAGTCAATGCGTCCGTGTCAGTGAAGATGGCGAATGGGTCATGAGCACAGGTAACGTTCCATCTATATCTATACCTTTATTTTCGTATTATTGACTGTTCTGTCGCGCAGGAACATACAAGCCCCAGATCCATACGCACTATCTACCACAACTCTCCCTCTCATGGGCTCGTCATACGGTGGCTCTGAACACGACTTTCCTTCTGTTGTCCTCTGATTACTCCAAATCTCTTCACCTGCAGTCCGACCGATCTCTCGAATTTCACACTCCGCAAGGTTGCCATTACACTACGAGACTTCCCAGATACGGCCGTGACTTGGTGTATGATCGGCAATCAACCGAAGCCTTGGTTCCCTCGGTCGGTGTAAACTCGGATGGCATGGGAGAGGTTTTCCGTCTGAACCTGGAACTGGGTCGGTACATGCGCAGTTTTGAAGTCGATGTTGGTGGAGACGATTTCACTTCTAGCGGCGGTGGTTCCTTACAGGGTGGTATCAACACCGGCGCGGTCAACACCGGTGCGATTGCTGAGGAAAGCCACAACCTTCTTGCGTTCGGTACTACATTGGGTACGGTGGAGCTTTGGGATCCCAGAGCAAAGGGAAGAGCCGGAATCTTGCTGCCACCTACACAGTCTGGCCCTGATGAGCCCCGGCACGAGATCACGGCCTTGGAATTCCACCGTTCGGGCCTAACCCTCGGAACCGGTTCTTCGAACGGTCTCATTCACCTCTACGATCTTCGTTCCCCCGTACCACTACTCAAGAAGGACCAGGGATACGGCTTCCCTATCCACACGTTGAAGTTCCTGCAGCCATCAACACACACCCGCGAACAGACCCTGGACCCGAAGATTATGTCCGCAGATAAGAAGATTATCAAGATCTGGGACCCCCGTGATGGAAAGCCCTGGACTTCCGTCGAACCAGCCGTCGACATCAACTCGGTCGCGTGGTGCAAGGATAGCGGTATGCTCTTGACTGCTAACGAAGGCCGCCAACAGCATTCGTTCTTCATCCCGCAACTGGGTCCCGCTCCCAGATGGTGTTCGTTCCTGGACAACCTCGTTGAGGAGATGGCTGAAGATCCCAACGATCCGAACGCTTTCAGCAGCGGCCAAACTGGCGCTGTTTACGATAACTTCAAGTTCTTGACGGTTCCTCAGCTGAAGACCCTGAACCTGGACCACCTGATCGGCCGGACCAGCCTCCTCCGCCCCTACATGCACGGTTACTTTGTGGCGCAGCAGCTATACGAAGAAGCCCGCCTCATCACCAACCCATACATCTGGGAAGAAGAGCGTGCCAAGCGTGTTAAGGAGAAGATCGACAAGGAGCGTGAGAGCCGTATCCGCGGCAAGAAGAAGGCCGCCGTCAAGGTCAACAAGAAACTGGCCGAGAAGCTACTCACTCTGGAAGAGAAGAACGAGCGTCGCAGAGCCCAGCGTGTTCTACAAAAGGGAGGAGATGATGACATGGTCGACGCCCCTGCACCAGCCGCAGCAGAAGCAGCACCCACCGAAGAGCCCGGCAAGAACCTCCTGGGTGACAGCCGTTTCGCCAAACTGTTCGAAGACGAAGACTTCGCCATCGACGAGAATTCCCACGAATTCAGGCTCCTCAACCCCAGCACATCCGTTGACCAGCCCTCGAGAAAAGAGCGCGGCCTCACGGCCGCCGAGCAAGAAGCGATTGACGAAGTTCCAGGCTCCAGCTCCGACGACTCCGAGTCCGAAAGCGAGCCCGAAAGATTCACCAAACCAGCATCCTCCGGGAAGATCTCCACGGCCTCCTACAAGCGCACCAACGGCCGCCAACCCCGTATGGAGGTCACTTCTTCATCCGGCGTCGGCGCTACTCGCGATCGTTCGTTCGCTTCGCGCGCCCAGAACATGCAGTCTCGCCAGAAACCCACCCGTCGCAGAGGTGTTGTCGGTGAGAGAGAAGTCACCTTCCAGCCTGCGGGCAAGTCCCGACAGCAGCAGAATAGGCCCCCTGCTCCCACTGCTCCCACCAACAACACTAGCTTCAAGGCTAAGGAGCGCCGAAGCGCCTCGGGTAACACTTTCCGGAAGATGTGATTTGGCGACAATATGAGAAACTCCCAATGAGCTCTGTCAGTTTATATTTACCATATATATACCTCGCAGAGCTCTCCTATAGCCGGCAGAAGACAGACACAAGTTTCAAAAGGTCGTGTCTTGTTCCTCACATCCATCATCTCCTTATCACCTACCTACATGGCCGGTTCCCAGAACATGCACGCCCACCACCTACTACACTCCTCTCCTCCTGGGCGATACTAGACTCATTCCGTGTCTATCTTATCTACACTCAGAGATATGACATGACGTGCAGAGACGGTGTAACAGGCCACGTGGACCCTGCTATTCTCATCATCTGCATGTCCATGCCCGCCTCTTACTAGAGGCTTCCGACGAAACCATCGTGATAAGTCGGGAAATCAAAACATCCACACTACTAACTTAAGGAAACCTGGCGATGAGTTCCTTAGATCAGCACGTGATAAGCAGATACCCACCCACAACTTCAAAATAATTGTTTTCCCTTGTACTGTACATAGATCAAAATTGGAGGGAATGAGAGAGAGCCAAAAACAAAAGCATTTTGCATTATTGGAGTAGATGAGAGGCGTTAGTTAGGTGTTGAAAATTATGAGCTTGAGGTCTGTGGGCTTTCATATGTGCATTTGCTGTAAGCTCTTCGTAGCGTATCATAGACTTGTTATTTGTTATATCATGATGTATTGCGTTCCAATTCATTGATAGCTATCCACAATGAGCACAAGCAAGCAAGAAACTTCAGGCCTTCCCCTGGGCCCGGATACCTCTGATTACAGATCACTCAATGATGTTAACCAAAGACGAAGAAATGTCGAGTCATAAGAAGGAAGTATAAACCCAGGCGGAGCGCGAAAAGAAAGAATAGAGAGAAAAAATAAAAATGAAAAGAATGGGGGATAGATCAATATCCCCATCACCAAAAAGCAGACAAAAAACAGATGAATACAACTGAACCCAAACACACTATTCACTCCAGAATGCAGACGGCCGTTTAAACAAATTTTGACACGAGTAATTAAAAACAATAGAACCTTGAGAACAGCCCCTTATGTCATCCTCTATTCGCCTGTCCGGGTCGCACATGGCCGTATCGCTTGCAGATCAGTCTATAAAAGTAGATCACTGTGAGTAGGGAAAAAAAAAAAAAAAGAAAAAGAAGGCATGGCCTCGTAAAAAGACAGCATCCGAAGATTGAAGTGAGGAAAGAAAAGAAAAGGGGGAAAAAAAGGGAGGTATAAAGGTTAAGAAGTAGCCCCAGAGGGGCAGCAACAGACAGAGTCTTGGAATGCAGTGATGCATTAACTAGCCCGACAACATGATAGTGGGAACAAGAGAGCGTGAGGACCTAAGTTGGCGCCTCTATTAGAGTCGCCTACCATGGTTGCCATGTCTGCCTTCTTCGAAGCTTCGCCGGGAGGCCCCGAAATCGCTCATAGCAAATAATAGCGGCTCGTCCTCTTCAACTTGTGATGGCGGAGGAATATTGCGGCCCGAACTAGGCCGTCGCCCAGCTGCCCGACGATCTTCAACAGTCGAGGTGCCGCTATTACTGCCACTCGCATTGACATCACGATCATGATCGCGCTCAGCGAGATCAGAAGGAGCACCGCGCGCAAGGCTACTCGAGCCGGAGCTGAGAGAGTGCGGCCCACCGGACAGTCCTCGCCCCCGACAAAGGCTGAAGCGTGGTTGGTAGACATGATTGTTCGACGGCGACGGTGCTACTGTTGGCCCTGACAATGAAGTTCGCTTGTGGGGGCTTGTTCCATGCCCCGTTGAGCTCGACCTTCGGCTCGGATCTTCGCTAGCCAAAGGGGGACGCTGTTCTCTGCGCGTTGGCTGGGTGTTTGATTTAGCCCCTTCCAGGTCATGCTGTCTCTGTAGGGCACTTAAGCTGTTGTGAGATCTCTCCTCAGCCCCGAGACTTACGCTGCGCAGATTGAAGGGGAAAATCTCATCATCATCGGTCGCAACTGGTGGAGGGGGGGGAGCAGCAGAGCTGGGCCGACGATAAGGCGGGAAGGGCAACCCTGGTGACGTAGGAATATCAATCGCATTTACCGTCACGACGGACGGGCGATGAGGTATGGTCGGACCCTCAGGAGTGTAATCTCCGACCGAGGAGGGTTGCTCGCGACCTCTCTCGTTGCCATAGTCAACAATGCTGTTAGAGCTAAGGCGAGACGGAATGGCCGGAGTATGTGGGGTGTGGGGTGAAATGGGCTTTCCCGGAGAAGAGGCCGTCGAAATCGAAGTACCAGCCACCATGGGAGGCACCCCTGAGAGCTGCTTGCTCGAAGAGGTCGACGAACGCTGCAAGAGCATAGAAGATGACATTGACTCCGACAGTTGTGCGTTCGAATCTCTCATTCGCTGAAACCGGGTCAACGCAGCCGAAGTAGCCGTTGTCCGGCGTGCAGTCACATCAGCAGAAGCCGAGTTTGATGTTCTCAGGAGATCTTTCCTCAAGTCTAGCATCTTCAGGAACTCCGTAATATTCTCATCGTCTGCATGAATGGAATCTGCACTTGTCCCCGTGGCTTCAGCAAGTAAGCCTGACCCAGGTTGAGGGTTGGAAGACGTTGCACTGGTCTTGCCACTCGAGTTTTCGTCGTCTATTCTGTTGATGTTGCCCGAAGAAGGCCTCCCGCGTCGATGGGTGAAGGCGCTACTGTACCTTGCGATTGGTGTAGGCCGAGGCGATGCCGAGTTTGAAGAAGTAGCTGTGGTCTCAGAAGCCCCGGGCAAGGGTAAGGATTTGCGAGCGGAAGCTGCCATGGATGGCGGTGGCATGTTCTTCGACTCTGGGAATTGAGGGCGAGTCATTGTCCCCGACCGTGGCGACATCCCCAGTGGAGGATCAACAAGAGACGGCGACGCAGACAATGGTGGTGCTTTGAACGGAGGGAAAGAGATAGACGATCGTCTAGCAACGCCTGGGCTACTTTCATTCGCCAAAACGGCAGCTCGCCCCAACGGGCTTGCTTTCACAACTTCTACAGGCTTCCGGGAAGAGGAACTCGGGGGGGATGGTGACGCAGCTCCTGATTCGCGGGCGGCGCGAAGAGCTGATATTGGACTCGCACTGGTCGTAGGGCCGACATGGTGGAACGTTGAAAGACTCCCATAAGCTCGACTTGGGTCAGGGTCTTCGACAGTTCGTTTCTCGACAGGAGCTGATCCGACCCCGGAATTGGCGGCCTTGAGGTTGGATTCCCTGCTTGGAAGTGAAGGGCGAAAGACCTCGTCATCGGCCCCCATGAATCGTGAACTCAGGAGGGCCTCCGAATCGTCCACTCGAAACTCACAGCTCGTTCGATAGGTCACTTGGATGGACAGGTATCCGACCGGCGACTCCGTGGTCCCAAAGGTATACGTTTCGACCACCTTATTACTGCTGTCAAACAGTGGCGTAGTCAGGCGATCCGGCCTGGAGTCGTCCGGATTGGGTTTCCCAGCCAAGATACGATACCGGATCTGAAGCGCCGGGTGCGCATGAAGCCTCCCGTTGCGCTTCGCGAGCTTCCACGCGGGTAACAACTTGGAGTAGGTGAACAATGTCCTGAACGTCACGATACTCTGTTTATATATTTTTGGCAGAATAGAGCCAAGATCTGCCGGTAGTGCCTTGTTCGGCGTATTCCCCAGTTCCACTCTCCATCGCTCTAGAATAACATCCTCGGACCTGGACGATACCGGCCCCTTGGCATGTGCCTCTGAAGACCTAGAAAGAGATTCCAGAACATCGAATCGTTTCCCTTGCTCATCCAAGGCAACGAGACTCTGGTTATTCGTCAGATCTTTCGTATCCAGATACGTCTCAATGATCAACGGCGGAGGCGGTTGTTCGCTAACGTCGTTTATCCGCCAAAACCGAAGCTGCTCTCGGAGGGCGTCAATATCTTCTAAATCGATGGCGAACTAGGAGATGGAGCATAGTAGTTAGCAGGGTATATGGTTACTTGGCACAATTGATGGGAAGCAGAGGCTCAGCATATGTGGGGACGTAGCATACCCATCGATTGACTTTGGGATTTATTTTCGGTGTATCGTCTGAGCGAGTTAAGTCGATCCGGGAAGCCAGTATTACTAGAGCAGCTTTTGTGTGATAATTCTAGACGCAAAATACGATTAATCAATGGGCCCTTTGTAACAAAGATAAGGGGACTAGAAGCCGATTCCAAGCCATACCGTTACGAGCTGATTGAGCTTCGATATTGCTTCTTTCGCTGGGCGTGAACTGGATGTCTGTCCAGATGACCTAGCCTCCGTCTCTATGCCCAATCCCCGTGTAAGTTGTACCCTGGGGTCGAAAGCTGGAGAGTTCGGGCGGTCATCGGAGCGGTTTGCGCCCGGCCTGGATGCGGAGGGAGGCGCCGCAGGCGCCGGAGATCGGGGGTGTTGATGCATGATAAAAACTGCGGATAATTTAAGAAATGGAAATAAAATGTAACTGAGCCGTCTTCAAGCGGACACAGCGTCCAGAACGACCGCTGCGTGTATGTTTGTAGATCAAGGAAATGGGGAGGTGACGGTCCCACTGCGGAAGGCCATGCTAACAAGCCCAACAGCCCGAGTTAAGGTCGACAAAGGGAAGCAGATGGAAGAAGAGGGGGGGGAGAAAGGCTGAGCGCTAAGTAACAGGCACTGATTGAGATAAAATGAGGGACGCCGATATCATCGTTTGCTGTGCTCAGGCAACAATAAGATGTTGGAGCATTTGGAGCATGCGGTCTAGACAACCTTGGGAGCTTCTCCGCACTGACGACTTGGGCGGATCCAGGCGTCCGGGGGTGCACGGCGTTCTCACCGTAATGGGGAGAACCAAGGGGTTTTAGGAACGCATGATGGGGACTACAAGAGAGGGAAGAAGAGGCGATGGTCAAAAAGGGGGGAAGAGTTGTAGGAGAGCAGGATCCACGGAAGAAGGATGAAACGTAGGAAGTGGAAGAATGGAGAGGAAAAGGAAGAGAGGGAAGAGCGAGAGAGAGAGAGAGAGAGAGAGAGAGAGAGAGAGACAGAGCGTTATGGTAATGAAAGTCAGTCTGTTCAGTCAAGCGTACGGGCGCAGAGGGTCTGTGACGCACACCCGGTGACTCGGTGGTTTGAAAGGAAGCAGGTCAAGTGCGAGCGGTCAGTCAGTCAGGCTGACGGGTGCCACAGCAGGTCCCCCAAATCAAATAAACCATGCGATCTGGGACAGTACAATCAATGGCTACGAGAGATTCAGTCAGTAAGGGAGCTTCCACTTGATCGAGGGAATGCTCTTGTGCTCTGTATTTTTGGACGGACCAAGATTATGGCGCAGGAGTTGCAGCTGGAGATTAAAACGGGCGATTGGAAGGCGGTCAAGCCGCAAGCTGCGGCTGCAGTTCTGTATGAACCAGTATGAACCAGGTACGGCCAGTCTAGTGCGAGCGTCACAGAACGGTATTGGCCGAGAGATAAGGAAAAGCCGATCAAGCGGTGATAGCATGAAGTCATAGCCTGATAGGCGTGGCTGGCTGCCAACTGGCACGGGGACCTGCCAGGCATTCGTAATTACCCCGTTAGATGCGTGGTATCTTACCCGAAATTGAAAAGAGAAGGGGGGCTCTTGTCATCTGGAACGGTACTACGTACTAGATTCAAACTATCCTCTAAGGAGGTTAGCCTCCCAAGGTTACCGCTTGCGCCTGGGCGATCAATCAACTTGCATGATAATCCCTATCCATGACAACATTCCATACTTTCTAACTTTAGCCATCTCAGCCCTTCCTGTGGTGCCCGCGAAACCTTCCACACAGCAATGTCTTGCTTCTGAGCCGCTGTCGTAGATGGTCGGCAATTTCTTTGAAGCCAAACAGGCTTCAGAGCCAACTGACAGTCTCAACTTGGGATGTCTACGACGCAGACCAACGAGATGGGGGTGGATCGTAGAGCGCAGACAGCCTCCGAGCACCGAGAGCATGGACCACACACCCCCCAAGTGTCCTGGGACTGGCTGCCTCACCTGCAACGGCCTGCAGGTTAGGTGGAGAGCAGACGCCAGTTGCCCGGTCTACAAGGCACTGTACCTTAGCCTGTAGCTATACCTTTCAGCTCGAGCCAATGCAATCTAGCCTACTGTACAACACACTGCCGGCATGATGCACCGGAACTGCGAGGTTTGCAGCCTAGGCGGCTGGCTAAGACCCCTTAGACAACCTAGACTCTTAATTCATCGTAGACCCCGAATCGGGGAAAAATGATAGGTGATGCATCATCCCCAGGAAAAGCGTGAGACTCTATCGGGGGAAAAAAAAAAGGGATGAGTAAATTTGGAAGTAAAGAAAGCAAGCAAGCCAATGGGGATCGGCTCTGGCGCATCTCTCAAGAGACTTGGATGTGGTTGTTTGGAGCCAGTTGGTGGTACAGCTGTATGCGCTAACCTAGATCACGATGATAGGGTCTGGACACTTCATCTTTCGTACCTTTGTTTGGACTGTTTTCTTGATGGGTTTGTAGCCTTGTGGCCGATTGTTGCCTACCTGATGGATAGAATGTATGTGAAGACCCGTGATTGCTGAGATTACTACTACGTACAGGCAGCCACAGGCATAGTTACCTACTACTGTGCCAGCTTACACACCGCCTTCTTTCCCCCGGAAGAAGCTTTCATCATGCCTGAGGCACGCAGGATCTACGCCTAGAAGGGGCTATGATTTAGTATACTTCCTTATGGAATACTTGGGGGAGGGGAGAATGAAAAAGACAAAACTTTTATTTTTTTTTTTGGAAAAAAAAAAAAAAAAAAGAAGAAGAAGAAGATTTTATTATCTTTCCTGACAATAGGCTCCACGGATTCCGTAGTGCGCTATCTACTGTATGCAGTCAATCTATACCTACGGAACAGCTAAGAATATGTATACGGCGTCGAAGAAACATTATTGGTAAAAGAAGTAGTCAGGCCAAAATCATTCCTAGTAATCTGGTTGACACAAGTAGCCAATAGAGCCCTGAAAACTCCATTATTGGCGATTGAATATGCTTTAAGCATTGTCCATCATAACAGCCGACCAGGGTCCCTGCAACAATGTGGAGACATTGACATTTCCAGCAAAGCCTACGCAAGATGTGAGTGACAACAAATGCTTGCCAGGGACTAAAGCAGAGCATGACAGTATGATGTATTCGCTCAGTTGTGCGCATCCCTGTAAATATATCTTGATAAGATGGATGGATATAGTGTCCACCTGACAACATGCACAAGGACAGCGACGTAGGGTCATGCCAGGGTGTTCTATGTCACTTTGGATAGACAAAGCAATACGTCGAGTGATAAAGGTGGATAGAAGGGGGTATTTTTAGTACAACCACTGATTGACATGGATGATGGGACAAAGACAATAGGAAGGGGGGCCCTCAATAGTGTAAGGGTTTGAGTCTGGGTAAACACGACGAGAATGGCGACAGCGTAGAATACATCTGAGATGTAGTAAGTGAATAAGCCATGAGCACATGTAAAACAAAAAGGAACTTGGGAGTGTGGCAAGCAAGCCCTTAAGAATACTCACTGACAGTTAGGAAGTGCTTTGCTGAAGACTGTCCAGTCCGATATGACTGTGCGACGGCTTAATTGTATATCCACCTCACAGATAACGGGCGAGATTGGACAATACTAATTTTGATGTGGTGTTGGTGTCGGCCGTGCGAAGGACAAAAAATTAAAAAAAGATCGCCCGATGCGAGGGTCGAACTCGCAGCCTTCGGATTACGAATGATCATAAAAGTCCGACGCTCTGACCAATTGAGCTAACCGGGCAACTTCTGATAACGTGACGGCATATCTATCTGATTTGAATGCGAGGAGCAAAAAGCGGGCCACATTGGCCAATGTACGACCGTGGAGATGGATAGATCCACCTGTGTACCGGATTTGAAGCGATACGAAATAGCACAATATCATATTGTTCGGTCATCACCATTGTTCCTGTTATTCGTTGGGAGCCCAATCCTGACTGATATTACGTATGATGCCAGCAAAAATTTAAGACTACTGCGACAAAAGTGAAAAAGTGAAAAAGAAAAAAAAGATCGCCCGATGCGAGGGTCGAACTCGCAGCCTTCGGATCACATGTGATCGTAAAAGTCCGACGCTCTGACCAATTGAGCTAACCGGGCTGTTGTTGGCGGATCTACAGATGATTTGATATATAAGCCAGAAGAATACTTTAGGGCCTACTAATGGATAGATATCTAGCGATCTCTATGCGATACGCCAAGATCATGATAATAGTGTCTGGATGATAATCTTGTGAGATCGCCTCATTTGGTGTACTATTGTCGGGGGGGATAGGACTAAAGAAGAGTTAGGTATGTAGTATACAATCTGCCAAGCTGTAGGCTGTAGTCATGATACTCTAATGAGTATTAAATGTAACCGACCGAACGGCTGGATCTACAAAAGATATACTTATGTAGTAGCACGGGTTGTAGGGCATGAGACAAGTACACATGAATGTTGCAATACCTGTGTTCAGTACCTGGATATCATACAAATGATCTCCGATACCAACATCAATAGCAGAGATACTAGCCTTGTAAAAGATGGTGGTTACACATTTCCCTTATAGCATACTTACTTCATTAATGAAATGCTCCTCGCCGTCCGTCGGAGAACATGGAGGGGTGCGCCGCTGCGATTGGCCACCGCCCGGAGAGTATTATCCACGGATCAGAAGGAAAGGCATAATCAGTCTGTGCTTCCCTGCGAACGCCCTTCAGTCCATCTTACTTCCTGTCCGGCTAATAGCCTCCATCCCTCCTTGAACCCGGTCATCCGACTGATTTCGCGGTCGCGTACCTTCCCTCGAGCTTACCCGACGCGCTGAGCCCTTCCCTCCCCCGCTGTTCACCAAGACTCCGAGTCCAATATTCGTCCGACGTATAGCTATCATCGCCACCGCATCTCCGCGTTCGATTTGCTTCACTATCCTCATCGGCAAAAAGCCATCACTTACCACGTCCTAACCCTCCATCTACGGCCCAGACATCCTTTCTCGAGAAGCCTCCGAAAGATTGCATCCTCCCCGCGTTGACCATCGTCAACCCCTCCTTTTCTGTCCGGTCAGAACACTCTTGTCACCCACACTCTTGCTGGTGCGCCGCCAACCCTCTGCGGTTACAGCGACGCTCTGGTTCTGGGTTGATAAGAGTTTCTGACACACTACAATTTTGAGCACATGAGTAGCAAGCTCTGGGGTTTCTTCTTTTACGATGACGTTGAGAGCTTTCGGCGGTTCCTGGCAACGGCCACCTATACGAGTGGCAGCCAGCGGACGGGAACCGGAGGGGCTTCTCCCTTCAAGCCGGGAAGCCCCGGGTCCGTGATAGCCTCTTCGCCAGGTACGTCGACGAAGAGCAGAAAATTGACGGGGACCTCCCCAGGAACTCCCATACCGGATCGGGGTGGTAGCCTGCGCCCCGGCAAGACGTTGTCTCGGGAGGAATTGAATGCACGGGATCATCACGGTCGAACCCTGCTTCATCATGTGGCGTCCTCGTCAAAAGATACTGCAATCGAATTTGCCATAGCTCTGCTTGAGATTCCCGCTCTTGATATCTATGCGCAAGACTGGGAAAGTGGTTGGACGGCTTTACATCGAGCTTTATACGCAGGAAATGCAACGATCGCCCAGGCCTTGATGGCTCGGGATATGCGCGATGCTACAGATTTCAGCAAAGCAAGCAATCCCGGGCACCCAAGTGGAGGGTTGATTAAGATTAAGGACCGAGAAGGCTATAGTCCATTCGACGTGTATGGTGCGACGATTGCGACCCGCGATATCAAAAGTATCAGCTCCCGGACGACAGCTCAAGACCCTCTTCTTACAGATATGGATAACAGTGATGCTGCTTCCGATGTATCGTCCCATGGAGAAGGCTTCGACGAAGACCCACGCAGTGCGAGGAGTATTATGAAGCCCAGGATTAACCTGTCTGGTGACGAAGTCTTCACCTTTGGGAGCAACAAGAATCTGAATCTAGGAGTTGGGGATCAAGATGATCGTCAATACCCCGAAAGAGTCACTCTCAAACGACCCGAGCACCTCCTACAACGTTTTTACCGTGAATTCCTGGAGCAACGGTCGGATGATGATAGGTTTGACTCCGATCAAGAATCCGGACACCAAACGGACCTGCCAGCGTTGGTGAAGAATAAGCCCATAAAGATCCAGAACATAGTCATGTCGAAGCTTCACACAGCTATTCTCACTACTGACCCCGAGTCCAACCTCTTCCTCTGTGGGTTCGGGCCCGGCGGGCGCCTAGGTACGGGGGACGAGTCAACTCGATTTAGTTTTGTCTGCATAGATAGTGGTGGGCTGGTAAATAGGAGGGTGATTTATGTTGCCCTAGGCCAAGACCACACTCTTGCGATCACTGACCGCGGCGAAATTTTCAGCTGGGGCAGCAACAAATATGGCCAACTTGGCTACAGTCTCCCAAGGAGCAATAACCGGGACGACGTGCCAATACAGAACTCGCCTCGACAGATTTTCAATCCCTTCAAGAAAGAGGCTATTCTTGGGGCAGCAGCATCGGCAATCCATTCGGTGGTCTTCAGTACCTCTGGTCTCTACACATTTGGTAAAAACGAGGGGCAATTGGGACTGGTGGACTCCGATGCTCGTTCACTTGAAATTCAAACGACGCCCCGGCGGGTAGGAGCATCCCTTTTCAGCGCCCCGATCCAAAGTGTTTCTGCTATCGATCAGGCGACAGCAGTTCTTCTCCAGAATCATGAAGTCTGGGTGTTCTCGCAATACGGCTATTCGAAGCTCTTGTTTCCTCTGGACGTCAGTTCGAGGTTCATAAAGGACAGTTTCATGGCTACACGATATGGTTCGTCTGTCAACGAGATCGTTCAGGTCAAGTCTGGTGGAAATACCATCTGTGCGCTGTCCAGCTTTGGTGAAGTATATACAGTTCAGGTCAACAAGACAGAACATCCGCCCATATCGACATCCACGACCAACCCATCTAAAACCCGCAATTCCTTGTCCCAGCCGACTCGCGTTTGGTCCATCAAGAAAGCCCATATGGCTGCTGCAGATGTAGATGTTGGGCAGGATGGTTCGATCGTCATTTGTACCGTCTCCGGTTCGGCCTGGAGGAAGGAGAAGCGAGGAAAGACGAAGGATGGTGCATCGAAGGATTACAAGTTTGCTCGCGTACCCGGCTTATCTCGAGTCATCGGCGTATGCAGCAATGCCTTTGGGGCATATGCAGCTGTGCAACGCGATTCAGAGGTCACGAAAGAGCAAATCCACGTCGACAAGTCTACCTTATGGAAGGACCTCCTTCCTCTGTCTCCATTCAAATCGCTACAGGAAACCATAGTCCCGGGAAGTCATAATGATGAGAAGGACGCTCATACGGACATGGAGCCTGCCATAGCTATCAGGAGAGCCGTCATGTCGTCTTCAGAGATCGAACCATTGTTCCAAACATCACAGTCCAGAGCACCAACTGGGACAGTGTGGCTCGGCACGAGCCATTCTGACATACATATACCGGTGCACGAATTCATTCTAACAGGACGCAGCATGGTGTTGCGGAAAGCATTCCAGGACTTCCGCAGTACGGACCACGCCTCTGTTCCTGACATTCTGACTATCCAGCGGGACGGTCGGGGCCAGACGCACGTTATCATCCATGCCGTTGATGTACTCACTGTCCTGAATATTGCTTTCTTTGTATACACGGACAGCATCTTGGACGTCTGGCAGCAGGTGCGGTACTCGCCGGAGAGTGCCTCTAGATATCGCCAAGTTCGGAGCGAGGTGATGCGTATTGCTAGCCATTTGGGGTTCTCGACTTTGGAAAGGGCTGCTAGGCTTATGATTGAACCGACCAAATCTCTCAAAGCTGATATGGAGCGAGCTATCAGGGACCCAGCCTTCTTTGACAGTGCTGATGTGGTCATCGAGCTGAATGGGAGTGAGGTGAAGGCACACAGCCAAGTCATTTGCCAGAGATGTCCCTTCTTCAATGCCCTCTTCTTTGGCCGCTCAGAAGGCATGTGGCTATTGGCACGTCGGGCAGATTCGGAACACATGGTTCGCATTGATCTCAGGCATTTCGAGCCGCATGTCTTCAAGTTTGTTCTTCGCTACATGTATGCGGACACGGAAGCTGAGCTCTTTGATGATGTCCGATCGAGGGATCTGGAAGACTTTATAGATTTGGTCCTCGATGTTGCATTCGTGGCCAATGAATTGATGATTGACAGATTGGCTCAGATTTGCCAGAAGATGCTTGGAATGTTTGGTAAGTTAACACTCCTTGTCTCTTGGTTATTTTTTACTTATCAATATATTCTAGTGAACACACGCAGTGTGTGCCATCTACTCAATGCCATTGCTCCGTGCTTTGTGACGGAATTCAAGGATGCTGCTCTGGAGTACATATGCTTGAATTTGGAGGACTTGCTGGCGAACAGGTGAGAGCAAGCACATTGTACAACCATGATTGTGTTTCTCACATCTTTTGCAGGCTATTGGAGGATCTTGATGACGTCTTGCTCGGTGCGCTTGACGCTGTCTGCCGCGACAACCAGATGACTAGCTTCCCTGTTTCGCGGGGTCGAAACACGGAAGAATATGTCTTCGAAAAGTACCCCGAAGTAGTATCCTTAATAGAGGAAGACAGAAAGCGGAGGATTGACTCCATGAGGATCAGGTCCCGTCTCAATCGCATTGACGCCTCCGAGGGCAAGCCACGTATGATGAATAGTGACAAGGCAGCTGTCTCGCCATTAGCGCAGAGAGTGAAAGCTACTCCAGCAAAGGATAGCTCGACTCCAGCTAGTAGCAGCCCCTTGCTCAAATCGAGGCAGTCTGTGGGTGACCTGATGTTCCAGATGGATGATGAATATCTTCTGTCTCCTGGGGAATCCGGAAAAGGGAAGGGTATCGTGCGAGAGGATAAATCACCCGCTGCAAACAAGCACAAGCCGTCTCTCGATTCGCCCGCTCTTGGGCTTAGCTTAGTCGACGGTGATTCGTTCGGGGGTCGAAGTTACCTGGATGACCAGATGGCTTCCTCGCGAGATCTTGCAGTTCCAGAGTCGCCGAGCGAATCTCGCGCTGCCTCGCTTTACAAGAAGCGGAACGGATCCCTGACCCCGCCAGATGCTCAAACCCCCTGGAGCTCCTCAGCATTATCGTCGTCCAAGAAGAGCCTTAAAGACATCATGAGCGAGGCTTCGGAAAATCGGGTATCGAACCTTAGCTTGGGAATGGGGGCTCGTCGTGAGAATAACAATGCTACTTCCAAGCTATCCCAAAAGGAACGGAAGAAGATCCAGCAGCAGCAGATGCAAGATATGCTTGCTGCTCAACAAAAAGCGAAGGAAGGGCCCCAGAACCCCTGGAAACTGCCGAGCACGAGCAGTCCCGCTCCCGTCAATGAGCAAGCGAGTCCATCCGAAGAATCCGCCAGGTCTACTCCAAAGCCCTCGATGACTCTTCGTCAGACAGTTGCTGGCACCCCGCCGCCTATCACAAAGTCAAAAACCACTCCCGTCCAAGGTCAGGGTCGCAGTACCCCCAGCAAGGTCCAAACGCCATCTAAGCCCTCACTTCCAGGGCCATCAACCGCTGTACCACCTCCTTCTAACCACCCACCCAATCCTCAACCTTCCATCCAATCCATCCGTCACATACCACGACCTGAACCCTACCAAACGAGCTTCCATACCCCATCATCAAATTCACTTTCATTAGCCACCATCCTCATGCAACAGCAAACCGAGAAAGAAGAACTGCACGAAGCTGCTACAGCGAAGCACAATCTTGAAGACATTCAACTGGAGCAGCAATTCCAAGAATGGTGGGACAAAGAAAGCAGACGTGTCCAAGGACTCCCGGAGCCCGGCTCTGCCCCAGACACTAATACCCAAGAAGCCAGAGACGCTCGGGGCAACCGCGGCCGTGGCAAAGGTCAGGGACACCAGCAGCGTAAGAGGCGCGGAAAAGGCAGTCCCAATGGCACCACTGACAATCCTACCTCACAATCATCACAACCACCACAACCACCATCACAACCTCCACGGAAGGACCAGCAGCCAAAGAAGACACATTCCGCTCCTCGGCGTGAGCAACAACCACAGCGACCACAAGCGAATGGCAACCACCCAGACCCAGCTAGTGGCAGCTCCCGTCGCGGTGGTAGAGGTGCTGCTCGCGGTAGAGGCAACCGAGAACGCGGGAAAGTTGCTTGAACACTTCTATACCACCTGCATGAATCTTCTACGACCTCCATGCCATTTGAAGTGGGGATGTGTGCATACCCTGCTACATTTACCCTTATATTATGTGGACCAATGATATATTAGTTATGCTTATAGACGGGAAGAGCGATGGAAAGAAAGAAAGAAAGAGATTTCTAGCAGGATAGACTTGGGGTTTTTCTATTCAGATCATCTAAGCCTTTGGGTAACTCTGTATGTTTGTATTGTATGGTTTATCTGAGAGACGAATAATATTACTTACTCTACCTTTCTCTTCTATACTTGAATTCAATTAGTTATCCTTCATTGTAGGCAAGTCATGCTCAGTACATACCAACCACACTATATATGTGATAAAATAACATCATATATAGTGCATTATTTATAACTGACAGAAAGGCCCGCAAGTCACAGAAAGGAGTATGGACAATAATACTAAGAAAGGTGGTTGTTAAAACAATTGATTACACTATTACGTAAAGAGTATCTATAATCGTAGCACACAAGATAGACAGAGAAGGAAGGAGGCTAAAATGGGGAAGCGAGAAGAGAAAGCAAGTAAAAGGAAAAGGCATAAGCAACAGCATAGAACATCCCAAGTTGATATCTCATCATGACGCCATTTACGCAAAAGAACATGTGACTCCGAAACGACCTTTAGCGCTACATCGAATAGAACCGAACGCCATGGTTGCTAATAAAGAATAACCAGGAACACAGTGAATGACAGCGGTAAAGAGTAAACAGAAGGGTGGGATGGGAAGGTGTTGTACAATTAGCCGGCGGTGGCCACTTCGCGACTATCCCACATGCGACGGATCATCATCTCCGCTTCATTAGCACGAAGAGTGTCTTCGGTGATGTCCTCCGGGGCTGAACTGCCATGGACAGGTTCGTCGGATGTGGAGAGTATGCGATGGGACGGGTGTTGAGATTTTTGTCCCTGGGCTGCATCGGATTCATTCACAAGATCGTCTGGGTCTTGGAGGTAGGCCTGGGAGACTGAGGTGTGCATGTCGTGATCCCTTTTGCCGATGAGCTGTCTGGGCTCTGGGCTAGCGCTATGGCGACCCGTGCCTTCTTGCAGGAGGGTCAGTGCTGGTGCTGACTTGATCGGCTTGCCAAGTGATGCCCTTTGTCCCACGCTGGAGCTGGCAGCACCACCCTTGAGATCATTGAGGATCATGTTCAACCGGTTGAAGCTGTCACCGGTGGGAGACTGGAACCTTCGCACAACCGTGAGCTCCAACGCTGTCTTCTCGTACGCTTTGCGGATATGCTTGACTTCATTGTCATGTACGGCCCCACCTGTGCGGGAAGGCCCGTTGACAAGGGCCCTGCCGGGTTCAAATGGGCCAGCGCCCGGCCGAGCGTGCGTCACAGCAATGTATGCGGGATCTATGGCTGAAGGAGAGACCGTTGTAGCAACGCCATGGTTGTCAGGCGGTGACGTGTTGAGCGCCGCAGTACGTTGCAACCAAAGTTTTTGCTGCGTACGGGAATGTGGCTCGGCACCCTGCGGCCTTGAAGGTGGGGAGGCTCGTAGCTTCCTGGAGCTGGTACCGCGAGGAGATGGTGGTGTCTGCGGGTGATAGTGTGGTAGGAAGGACGATGGAGTATTCGGGTCGGAGTCGGTACGAGAAAACGCATGTGGTCCAGTCTTGTTATTAATAATGAACTTTGAGACGCCTCCTTCAATCGAAGACGAGGTCGCCTGGGCCTGAGTACCCGGAGTATGCGCCAATGTATTGTGAGACGAAGACAGGGGCCGTCGTGCACCATCAGGCCCGGACGCCAAGTTGGTCAGAGATGCATTGCGCGAGAGCGATTCCACGGCGGTCGGCTTCACCGTGGCGGATATGGAAGACATGGCGGGCGGTGCTTTGGCGGAATGGGACGGAGTTAGCAGGCGAGCGGCAATATCGGGATGATCGAGAGCGCGGCCCGCGTCTTCGTGTCTTTCCTCAGATTCAGAACGCTGTTGTGGAGTGTTGTCGTCGTCGTCGTCGTCGTCGTCGTCGTCGTCGTCGTCGTCGTCTTGATCGTCGTCGGATAGGTTGTCTTCGCCGAAACTCTTGCTGGTTGACTCTGGAAGACTGGTTGCTCGAGGAAATTGTGGGTAGGAGCGTTTGACGAAAGTAAGGGGGTCCACCAGCACGGCAGGATTCTCCACACTCTCCTTCGACTGTGCGACCGAGCTGCGCCGGGTACTTTCAGGTGACTGAGTGGTGTCTTCCCAGTCAGCGTCGTCGTTGTCGGAATCCGCCAGCTCAAAGCCCACGGTCTTCTTTTTCCCAGAACTCGTGTGAGGGCGGTCGGTCACTAGAGCTTTCTTCCCCAGAACAGCCGAAGTATTGCGTCGGAGAGCCGGGCTCGAGTAGTTCTTTTTCATCGAACCGGTGCTGCGGTGTGGTTCGTCCAACACCCCATCCCAGCGGACGTGATGCCCCCGGGGGCTTGCAGCGGGTGTTGCGGGTGCGGACTTCTTGCGCTGATGCACGCGAGCGGAACCTTCCGTGGTAGTACCGATCTGGTGGGAGGACTGGTGTCTTTGTAGCTTGTTCAGGTTCTTTCCGAAGGAAGGATTGCGGTGGTGATTGCGATGACCACCGCCAACCAGATGGGGGCGATGGGGACGATGAGGAAGCTTCTGAGGGTTGGAGGAGTGAGAGTGAGACAGCTCGCCTTGGGTGGTGGTGGTAGTTGAGGAGGAGGAGCGCGTGACGACCGCGTGAGAGGAAACAGCGCGGCGGCCCAGCCCCGGGCGCTTGACTGGGGAAGAAGTGTTGGAGGTCGGCATGGCGGGAATAAGAAATCACAGGCAAGGCGAGCAAAGAAAAAAAGCAAGGGCGTCCCGACTGAGAGGGGAAAGGCACACCGGCGAGAGAGGAGGAGGGGGGGAATCAGCGCCGGATCGGGCGAGGAGCAGCACGTCGGAGGAATAGCGATCAAAGCGATTGGAGGACTTCTGCAGTATTAGAGGACCAGCCCAGGTAAGCAGTAAGTTCGTTCCTGGGTCTCACAACAGCAGGATTCAAAAGAGCTGCAGATAATTATATGAAGGGAAAAGCAAAGAGCGATTGTCTTTCCAGCAGAGATGCGAGGATGCTGGGGAAGCGCGGGGAAGAAGCAATTGGTGGCTGACGCAAGATGCGTTACACCAGTCAGTTTGAAGAAGAGGTGTGGAGGGGAGGGAGTTTCGGGTAAAAAGAGAGAGGAAGTTAGGGGAGGTGTGAGGGAGAAAGGAGAGAGAGGTGGTGGATGTAGACTATATCAAGTATGGATGGAAACGAGCAAAAGGAAAGACACACTCGAGTAGGAGTAGTAGTCTATGACATTGGGGAGCAGGACAAGTAGACAATCAATTCCCCCAGGCCGAGGAGAAGGAGAGGGAAAGATGAAGATGGATGAAGATGAAGATTGACGATCGAAGATCGAAGATGGAATCCGGAATGGAAAACGAATGAACGAATGAATGACTGAATAATACCTCCCCGTTCCGTTTCCATACCAAGTCCAGACCGAGTATCCATTGCTGTATTTTTCCCTTTTCCATTTGCCACTGAGACCGGCGATCGCCAGCAAACTTCTCCACGAGGCAATTCCCCATCTCTTCTGGGTCCTTATCTCCATTTAATCTCAATTTAATCTTAC